TTTTTTTTTTTTTTTTTTTAAGTATAGCATTGAAACTTTGTTTTATCGTTGCGAACGAGCTGGAATATTTTTCAGTTTAAGACGCACTTTTTCAAAGATCGATCTCTTCTTCTCAGATTCATGGGAGTGTGCGTGCACGAAGGTCAGCTGCATGCGTTAACGGAGTATATTAACGGCGGCAGCCTGGAACAGCTGATTATGTCGCGACACACGCCGTTACCGCTCCTCGTCCGGATGAACCTGGCGAGGGATGTGGCTCGTGGTATGGCCTACCTACACAGCCGCGGCCTCTTCCACCGCGATCTCACGTCGAAGAACGTGCTGATCAAGAAAGACGAGTGCAGCAACGAGATGACCGCGGTGGTAGGCGACTTTGGACTGGCCGCAAAAATACCAGATCCCAGCACGGGCTATCGGCTCAGCACCGTCGGCAGCCCTTACTGGATGTCGCCCGAATGCCTCAAGGGTCAGTGGTACGATCACAGGTCCGACATATTCTCCTTCGGCATCGTCGTGTGCGAGCTGATTGGCCGGGTTCCGGCAGATCCGGACTATTTGCCACGCTCAGATAACTTTGGCCTCGATTACCTGGCCGTGGCGGAGATCTGCGCGGCCGCTGATCCGCCACCCGCCTTTCTTCAACTTGCCTTCAATTGTTGCACGGTGAGTATGATGATCTCTACTAACTGTAAAAACATGCAACGCGGATCCGGTGCGAATGCTCGGAGATTTGTGTAGCGACTGCCATCAGAATGAGAATACACATACAGAATGTACATACGCACGAAGGAGATATCTGATGCGGATGTTTAGTAAATTTTATTATTTGTCGTCGATAAAAGAATTGTGAAAAAATTATGAATTTAATTTATGAATGAATTTTTTTATTCATTAATTTTGCAAACGGATTGTAAATGGTACGGTTGTTTGTTTTCAGTACGAACCTAAGTCCAGGCCGACCTTTCCGGAAATCACTACCAGTCTGGAGACCATGATAGCGGTCTGCGAAGAAGAACTGAAAAGCAATATCGGTAAACGGCAGTCGACTGTCGATCCAACGCTGATGTCCAGCATGGACGAGATCGCGCGGGAGGGACGCACGACGAAGCGGCGTACCGCGAAGCTCAGAAGTCAATCGGCAGACGCGCGAGGTTGCGATAATGCGACACCATCGGATAAGGCAAGATGCCATTCCGCCAGGCGAGTAGCTGAGCTCGCCAGCCGACGGGATCCGCATTATAGGCCCGTGACGGCTAATCCATTTCACGCATTGGGCGGCGTCAAGAAAATCCTTGGCGATTTGTTCTCCAGCTGCTTGGAGCTACCCTCGTTGGAGGACGTGCGACCAAGCGTCACGGATAGCGCGTGCGGCAAATTCAAGCCGGCGCAGAACGATAGTATTTCCAAGATCTTGGATAGGAAGAAGCCGAGCTCCGAACCGAGCAGTCCTACCGCCAGGAAAAAATGGGAGAGAAAGGTAAATGCACAAATTGATTGTAAATGATGATCGAGCGCAATTATTTGATTTTGAAAAGAATTTATACATTGCATTATAGAAATTTTGATTATTACAAACGTTTGAAATTGTATTGTGTTATTATATCATTTTCAGGTCGCTATCAAGGTAGGTGCAGCGAGCATGTTCGCCCATCCGCTTTTCCGGGACGGAAGTCCCGGGAGTTGGGAGCCGCGAAGACGTGGCAGCTGCGAATCGGGTTTCTGGAGTTGCGTCGGTGAAGATCTGAGTCCAGAGCCACCGAATAGACGGCATACATCGACTCTCAGCAGTTCAGCAGCAAGTAGTTTGTTCCTGCTAGACGATCATCGAACTAGTTCGATTTACACGGATTCCTCCGAGGATATTGCCAGCTTAGGTGGCGGCGATTCCTGTTGGGAGGACCGACTGAATGGTATTGGCTCAAGCAAAACCATCTCGAAAATTGTCGAATACTTTGAAAGGAAGCAAGCAGGTAGATTTGGCGATCACGGCGATACCGCTGCTCCCAGCCGTCTGACCCTGTTACGGGCCAGTTTAGAAGGGCCCGTTCCTATTAGCAGCATCTCAGCCGCGCAACGACTGGTCGTGTGCGAAGGTGCCGTGCGCAGTAAACTTGCGTTATTCGACAAGAAGTGATATTACGCGTGAGTCGCTTGGGGATTTCGTATCGTCTTCCTTCGATGCTCAAGCAGCACTCGCGTGAATAGAACCGTGAATGAAACGCGATACAGGTCTCGGAAAGGATTTGACAGAGGTTTGTCGTCATGTGCGATGACGGCGAAAATTTTGGAATGTTATGCGATAATTAACATGTTTCTTACGTGTAGTTGAGAGTGAAGAACAAATGGTTACATTAAAGATAGTAGCAATTGGGCTTATTGCGCATAAAAGATTAGGGCGGAAAAGGGGATTATACAATATCGGCGTTATTCGTGATTTTTGTAGGCAGGATAGCTGATAACACGCGTGCGGCGTGCTTACGGACACTTCTCTAAAAACCTAGTAACCTGACTGTGATGCTTTTTGATAATCTACATACATACATACATACATACATTATTGAACTGTACGACTGAAATTTGGCGGAGCCATCAATACAGGATCTTTTATACGCAACACGAGTTGCGTTTCAATTTGGCTACAACGATACACCGTTTGGAAAAGATAGGGAAGGAGAAGAGAGTACGAAGCAATAGCGAATTTAAAAAAAAAACTGCGTTTGAGATTAGCGCCGAGAGTAACGCTAATCATTTGCTTGCGATCGACACATTTTGCAGTGCCTCGCAGTTCCTAGTAGCCATCTCCGTCCTTATGCACACGAATCATGGGTATTACCAATCACCGCAAAGGTAGCTATACAGATTGACGAGTATAAGGGCGAGTGACTTTTTTTTTAATAAAATAGGCGAATCACCAGGCCAAAGGTTCTTATCTCGCCATTCTTAATTTTTTGGTTGTTAGCTTTACCGAATTGTCTCATGTTTCTTTTTTTTTTGTAATATGTTTTTAATAGTCGTATCAATTTTTATTTTTTGTATTAAGGATTCGTTGACTTGTTACTACAGTCACGCTGGATTTATTTTCACTGTATGCATTGAGATCAACTAAGTTTTACTATATGATCATATTCAACAGAAGTTTAAAGCTTTCCTTTTTAATTAATAAAATAATTTAAATCTTAGTTGTGACTGTCATAAAATGTATTTTCTCTGATAAATATCGGAAATGATTATTTATCAGGAAAAAAACATATTTATTCAATTGAAGTTTATTCGAGAGTGACAACGGTGCAGAAATTTATTCAATGTATCCAAGACAGAAATTTGTATAATTTTTTCTTCTAATATCATCTAGCAAGCTGCAGTAAGAGGTCAGGAGGATGCCCTTAAATTCCATATCTACAGAGGCCTACATCATACAAGATCCGTATTTGTGGGATTTTCATTTTGTTTTCGACGTACCGATATTGATGTAGCGCAAAGTTCATCATTGTTGCTACATATTTTTTCAGTGATTCGCAATTTTGCGTATCGTGGTGTTAATCCAGCTCGGGATGCGCGATACAAAGTGCCGGAGATATATAATGATAATGCATATATACATATATTTTTTTCTTGGCAGAGATACACCGTGTCCTGAATATTCTTGTTGACGTGTTGCGCATAGCCGAGAGAGTTTGTCCACTTTAAAAAAGAGAATATATGAAACTGATCTAGTCAGTGTATTAATATGGCGGCCTTATCTTTTGTACGTTGTAGCGCTAAAACATGTAGTATTTAAGATTGAAATGACGTGAAATGAGTGCAAGATGAAATCAGACGAGATAAAAACCCTGATTGCGCGCGATACTCTCCTACCTTTTTTTTTTTTTTAATTCGGTACATTTATATACAGCGGTACAATCGGTACATTTATATAGTGAAAAAGTAAGAGTGAGAACGTGTGAAACCGGATGAGCGAGTAAAGATGCGTTGCATTGAAGTTGCATTACATACATCCGTATGTATGCATATGCATGCGTTGCAGAAAGAAAGTGTACACGTCCAAAACGCGATATCTATTTAGGTAGCTACGACTTTCACATATATAATCGTTTTGTCGCTCGAACGGCAAGTCGAACCAAATCTATGATTATAGAGTGATAGACTAATATGACGATACCTTTTTACTTGTCGAAGTTCGCTCACGGGTTTACTCCATAAGACTGTGCGTTCGTTATGTAATAGATCATATGTAAATAGAGAAGCTCGAAATCGCGTCAACGATATTCGCAGTCTCTTCCTCCTCGTACAATGATGCGCCGTCGTGCGCACAGAGTCTTCTCTTTGCGTTTTTTCTTTAATTTTATTTTTAATTTTCGCTCGAATCGAGGCCTTTTTTTCCTCCTCGATGCGTCAATCGGTACCTGAACAGTCGAAGCGAAGGAAGGACTGCGAACGAGTTAGTTCTTAAGTGTGCGGACATATCAGGAGTATGGGCATATCCTGAGAATCAACCCGATCGATAAAGGGCAATAAATATGTGGTTTACGAGTGAGAATTATGGGATTCGTATTGTGAGTGCGTGAACGTATGAATGTTGAAGAACGAGAGAGAGTGAGAGAAAGAGAAAATAAAAACGCGAAATTAGTAGACCGAGAGGCGCAATTTTTTAAAAAAAAAAAAGATATGGGTTATTTATTTTAAGTAAAAACAGTTATATTAAAGATTATATAT